AATGGCTATCTTTAAAAAATCTTTACGGAAATTCATTAAAGAAACTTTGCAGATTTGATACATTTGAAGAATCTGTACAGTTTTTCTTTCTTTAATGATTCTGCAAAGAAATCTCATTACAGAAAAAATACAGATTCAATTTAGAAACTGTGTGTGTGTTGATCTGTAAAGAATCAATAAAGAAATTCTCAACAGATTCTGTAAAGAAATAACAACATTGAAAATTCTGTAAAATTGACTTTGTCATTGAAGATTTTGCAAAGAATACACTTTACAGAAAAATAGATTCATTTCAAAAATGTATGGATGATGATCTCAAAGAAGCAATAAGTTACATCCAGGCCCATAACCTGGGGAAGGGGCTCAGCCATTACAGCCAACCCTTCTGATATCTCCTTAAAGATATGTGGACATATGTACCTTTTTGCCAAAAAAAGTGTTGAAGGGTGTCTTAAAAGTGCTGAAGGGCATTAAAGCGCTTTTTTGGCCTTGTTCTAAGAGAAAATTGGCCTTACTTTTAAAAAAAATCCTTGCAAGCGCAGAATATTTTTTGCCATTTGGTCCCCTCAAAGATTTGAGGGGGGATGTCAGAGCTCCCAGATACCAAAAGCTGGCTGAATATCACTTCTGAAACTATCGAATATCACTTTGATGGTTTGGGGATTTTTTGCTAAAATTATATATGATAATGATATCTTGATCCACATCATGAAATATATCTTCACGTGATATTCGATGTATATCCTTGCAACCATGGGATAATAGGTAGTTATCCACAAGGAGGGATTTGATATGGGGAATATCACAAGAATGGTATCAATATTTCCCGAGGGAACACAGTGTTTCGTCAGTGGTCAGGGTACTTTTGGGAGGTACTAGGTTTGTCCCAACCTCCCAAAAGTACCCTGACCACTGACGAATTGATACTGAAATAAGCCTAAAGCAGGTAAAATTAAAAAATATATATAAAACTATATCCTCAATAAATCAATAGACGAAAACGATTATTCCTGACACCTATCGGCCACTCCCGGAACTATTTCTGGGATGACGTCATACTAAGAGATTTGCTCTGACTAGTGTACGACGCCATTAAAATTCTCGATAAATATCAGTTGATTTCACAATAAATAAGGTATGTGCAGATAAATATTGTAACTCTTTCGATATAGATGGGTGTAAAGCATTAAATGTCGGAATAAATATGTCTTAATTTCAGAGTAAAGACGTAAAAACGGGTCTAAAAAAATTCAGATTTTTTTATGAATTATTTTTCAAAAATAATCTCTAGTGTTGAAATCTTCAAATTATGAGGTTTAGGGGTTAATAAATCTGTCCCGTGACGTTCGTTGATGTCATATCTTTCGTCTAGTGTCAGAAAATAGTAGATTTGATGCAGAAACGGGGCTTTGAAAAGCCAAATCATGGACTGGGGACCCAGCCTAGGAAACATCCAGGTGTAAGCCTAGTTCAATGCAGTTAACATGGTTACCTATTTTCCTGATCTGCTTTTCACATAGTATATTTCTGTTTCAGACTGAGCTCTGTCGCTATCAGTGTGTGGAGTAGTCTACATATACAGATATGGCACATATCACTATGGCCAGTGCTGCAGCTACCAGTAGTTTCAACGGGGTTGGAAAGAGTCAGACTGAGACTCCACTTCAATCGCCAGGGAGAGATCAAGAGGCAGTTTCACTGATCCCTTGTCAATCATGCTCAGAGGTAAATGTTACATTCAATTTTATATATTTGAGTTGTTGAAATTAAGTTCTCTGAAATTGTTTGTTTTCGATTCGCTTACAACATATGATATGTATTTTTCTTTATTATGATATACATGCAAGACTAATACATTTTGAAATCTGTAAAAGGCTAGCCTTATATTTTATCTGTCATGTTCTAAATGGATATCCATGGGTTCAAAGTTACTTTATTTAATTGAGATTCTGTATTGATATATGAGGTGAATATGATATCTGCATGAGAGCGCGATGCGAAGGAGTGCATATATCAATATCACCAAGATAATAATGATATTCCAAAAATCATAGGATGGTCTTATTATCCTACACTTACTAGTAGTGTACTAAACATATAATATCATTGAAAATTTCTTGTGAAATAGTTGAATTTGACAAGAAATCAACAAGCGGAGTATATCGGCACAATATCCTCTGCATATTGGTTTTCAGGAGTATATTGTCACGATATCCTCCTCATGTTCAGATATTGGTTTTCCGGAGTCTATCGTGGTGATATCCTCCAGTTATGCATTTGCCAAAAGACATCACATTTATTTTTGAATGTTATACATTTTGTACACTAAGTGTAGGATAATATAGGAATATCCTATGGTTTTGAAAAAATATCATTTATATCCATGAGTGGATATTGATATCTTTACGAGAGAGCGCAGGGGATATAATTGATATTTTCTAAAAACCATAGGATTGTCCGTTTATCCCAATGGAAATCTTAACCCAGCGAAATCTTGATCCACATATCAAATAAATCTTCACCTGATATTCGATATATATCCTTGTAACCATTGGATAAATGAGGGCTATGTTATGGGAGGTTTTGGATATGGGGTATATCCTGAGGGAAATATTGATATCTTACTGAGGGCCCGGAGGTCACAAGGTAAGATATCATATTTCCCGAGGGATATACCCCATATCCAATACCGAGCATCACATAACTAATTTATCCTATGACAAGTGACCTTTATCTATGAGACATTGATTATTCCCTCAACTGAATTGAAAAGATTTTAACTTTTTAAACTAATGTTGATTTTATTTGTCGTATATGAAACATGTATATTGAATGAAAGTCAATAATTTAAAAGAACATATTTCAGATTATTAAAAAATCTGTTAAAATGGAAAAGTTACCAGTTATTCCCGGGAATATTGGTGCGGGAGATATACAGCAGGAGATATATATGTCCCGCTCTTCCAAGATATCGATTTTATATCCTGCTGTTATGTACCTGAAACCTCACTTGTCATTGGATAATACAGAATATCAGATCTTTTTATCTTGGGTGATATCATTCTTATCGTCACATTGACAGATGATATCTACATGGTGATAAAATGATGTCTTGAGAAATTATCTGATATTGGGTTTATCCTTTGACTATCTGCTATAATCATTTGTTATGTTCTGACAAAACTTGTTGAGCGAAATTACACGATATATTAAATATATAGTAAAACTTCAGAAAAATATCAGACTGATTTCAATCAATAATATCAAAAATATCAGTGGCTATTAATGTACAGATATCACATTTATCAACACATAAATATAATTGTATGAAAGTTGTTGATAATTATGATCCACTATATTTCTTTGGTTCGTCATTTTGCTTTGCTTTGGCCGTAGCACTGAGCATAAAAAGAAGATTGTGACAGAACTTCAAATTAAATTGCTATTTTGTATAAACCACAAAATGTAATTGATTTGCATCATTGCATTTTGTAGTTTTAAAGATGAATTTAACATATTGTTATTATTATTATTTTAGGGTCACCAAGAGCAGGCATAGAGAGCTGAAACTGATTGATCCAGATCCATTCAAAAGCTATACGAGGACAAAAATGGCAAAATGTGACAAATGCAAGATGCAACTTCAAAGTGACACCTCTTCTACACCATCTCCTGACAATCAAACTCCATTCTCCAAATCTACAACTCATATTCCGAAAACATTTTCTATTTCATCAATTACTCATCATATAGACAAATCAGGAAAAATACTTAGTGTTGATAGGCCCAACTCAAGAGGTTACAGTTTTTTTCATGAAGGATATATACACAAAGTACTCTCAAGGACCAATAATTCAGGAAATTGTGAAGTGCAGGCTCACTGTTACAAATCCATGAAAAAGAATGAGACTCCACATCAACTGTGTGTTGAAATTACTCCAAATGGTTTGGTGAAAGCTGCAAAGTGTTCGTGTATTGCAGGTGCATCAGGTGTTTGCAACCATGTATTTGCTTTGTTGTACCTATGTAATCATGTTGTGCATGCCAAACTTGAACAGTTTAGTGACAAAGGCACATGTACTGATGCCAAACAGGAATGGAATAATCCAAGCAAGCGATTCAGAAATGATGGATTACAATCTGAGCCCATCATGGGATACACTGTTTTCAATCCCAAGTATGGATCAACCTCAAAGGGAATTAAAAGTGCATTATATGAGGCTCGGGCACCCTCCGTGCAAAATAATGATTTTGTGGAACCTCTTGTCAACTCATTCAAGGCAGATGTGTCAAGAGACTATGGTGTAAAACATGTTTATTGTGAGAGGAATTCATATGTTGATACCATTTTGGGTACACAATCAGTACTTGGAAGTGTCCTTAGTTATCAGTGTTCAATAACTGAAGGCAATTTTGATGTTGTAAGCAATTTTGATTGCAGAGTTCTCAATGAAAATATGTATAACACCTCTACTTCTTTTCCTGATTTACCAATTTGTACTTTAGAACCATTGGATATTCATTTTGGCTCTGGTAGCCCCTTTGTTGAAAATTTAAAATTATCAAAGCAAGATTGTACTAAACTTGAAGAAAAAACTAGAAATCAAAGTGAAAATGAAGAATGGGTTGAGGCAAGAAAATCAAGACTGACTGCGAGTAATTTTGGCCTTATATGTAAGAGAAAAACTGTTACAACCAAATTTGTTGAAAATCTTGCCAATCCCAAGAATTTAGATAATGTCCAAGCTATCAAATATGGTCGAGAAAATGAGACCGAATGTGTCAAAAAATATCAAACCTATATGAGAAATTCGGGAAACCATATCACTGTGTGTCAATCTGGGTTTGTTGTAAATCCAGGCATGCCCTGGGCTGGTTGTACCCCAGACAGAAAAGTTATTGACCATAAATGTGGACTCAATAGCAGTATCTTGCTTGAAGTGAAGTGTCCTCATTCATTCAAGGAATTAACACCAGAGGAACTCCTTCAGCAAGACAACTTTTACATGCAACGCATTAACAACAAACCCAGATTAGATAGAAACCATAGCTACTATTACCAAGTACAGGGTCAGTTGGGCTTGTGTGGATTGACAATGTGTGATTTTGTAGTATACACCAAAAGGGGTTTACTCATTGAAAGAATTCAATTTGATGAAGTTTTCTTTCATGAAATGATGGTTAAACTTGGATCTTTTTATAAAGATCATTTCCTTGTGTACATTACACAAACAGCATAATTTTGATATAAATAGTGTATTTTATTTCATTTTACTGAATGATCATTTTGTAAGTTTTATGTAGGCTAGTCCTTTAAGAAACTAATAAAAACTCAAAACATACTTAAATGTAGATGTCTGAGACTGTGTGTTTACATATGTGATACTGCAAATAGTTTGTAGTAAAATTATCCACAATGTAGCAGGTAGGCTACATATTGATTTTTAAAACTGAAATTCTTTACAAAGCTACAATGTAGCAAGTATATGTAGAAGTAAAATATATAATATTAGCATTTATAAGTTGTTCTCTTCTGGATACATTGTAAACAACCTGCTGTATCATATGTCTGTACACTATGCTAGAACCTGATCTAGTGTATACATACAAATTGTCCATATAAGGTCAGTGTATAACATTCATATATAGTATAAACTATTATACTCCATTGTATTCTATACATGTTATGTAAATAAATAATTGTACATATTAAATACATCGATGTGGTTTTGTTCAGTAGAAGTAGTACCCAAATGATAAAAAGTCCCGTTATTTGACAAAGTGCTAGAAAGTTAGATTTATACATTTTCATAGTCTTCAATCATAGGCAGTGTGAAATTTTGGTAGTATAAATTAGTGTTCAGTTAACACATCAAACCTATATACTGATATAACATTTAATTTCATCATTTACCTTCAAATGGAAAAATTCATTGATTATTCAATCAATACAGTTAATTGTTCACATTCCATTGGATGAGTCAGTTTGTCATAGATCATTTATTTTAAGAATCATATGATTCAGTTGACAGAATGGGGTCCTGGAAGAGGGTGAGTAAACCACACACTGTCCAAGTAAGATTCACTGATCCAGCAGTTGAGAGCAATGCAGGTCTATCCCAAATGTGAAAATTCTTGAGTTTATTGTTCCACCGCTCAATGTGGATTCTTAAACTTGCGATTTGCTGGGTTTCACGAACCTCTCCTTTTGTCATTTGGTCACGCTTACCGACATAAGCAGGAAGATTTAGTTTAACTCCCATTGGGTCCAACAGATCTTGAATATCAAACCCCTTGTCTGCCATCACACTATCACCTTCATCAAATGGCAGATTCAATAATCCACTTCTCATGGTAATTTCCCGATCACTGATGCTACCTAAGTAGAGTGATGATATGAACGACAAATGTCCACCCGGAGTTATACCTATCAACGATTTCAAGGTATTGCCACTCTTGTATGTGGAGTATGATTTGGATTGCAATACAAGTGAAGATGGGGTTTCCATTTGAATTTCAGTGCAGTCGATGATCACACGAGTATTGGGATAGGCTGCTTTAAAATTTTCAGGCATATTCTCATCAATAAGCTGTCTGCTTGGCCATATGTTGATTTGGCCAAGTCGCTCATACAAATATACAGTCCATGATATAAGTATTGCACTAACTGTTGACTTCGACACCTTGAATCGATACGCCAGGTCTTGCTCAAAGAGACCAAGCCTAACTCTGCAGAGAAACATGAAGAACTCTTGACGCGGAGTCAGCAGTCTCGGTCTTCCCCGTTTCACGTGCGATGAATTTGACTTGACACCAGCATTGTTGACACTGGTACTGTAGACAATATTTTCTCCAGAACTACCAGTTTCAAGTCCTACTAACAAGCGGTCAAAGTCCTTGATCTCAGGTAATCCAGTGTAGAAGGTAACATCACGTGGTGGCAAGTTGTCAATTGAAAAAACATCTTTGGATATCGTTTCATGAGCAGTGGATAGTTCACTTTTTGATTTGGCAAGTTCATTTTGAAGCTTTTTTATTGTTTCATCACGCTCGAGTAAGTCATCTTCTAACTCTGCAGTTCGGTCTTGCAACAATTTGATAGTAGCTGATAAGTGTTTATTCACCGATTTATTTTCCTCAAGCTTGATTTTAATGGCTTCAAGTGTTCGATTAAGCAGACTAGATTCCAATTTGAGTTTGCTAAACTCAATGTTCAATCTTGTTTCATCAACTTGGTTTTTGACAGGTGTGGTCTGAGCAGTTGATGTATTTGATACATCATCATGGATGGGAGCTGTTGTTTCACTAAATGAATCTGAACTAGAGATTGAGTCTGTATCTGTGTCATTTTCTGATAGAGCATCAGATTCTAGGGCACAGTTCACTTGCCCTGGTGCCGATACCTTCCTAGACATCCACTTGTTGGGGCGTCTCTCTTTAGCTGGGGTATATACATATTTCTTGTCCAAGTTTAGCCAGCAATCAAAGACTGAGGGGACTGCATCTTCTTTTAAGTAACATCTGTTGGAGTATCCACCGGTATATCGATAATCCTCATCTTTGAAATGGAGTGAACACACCACTGTTCCAGCTGATATCTTGAATGTGTTGTTTATGTCGCGTTTGATTTTGACCACCCATTGTTGTCTACGCTTGGGATCACTGGGAAAGCTGGAAATAAAAAAATGGAACAATATATTTGTAAGTTTACATTGTGACATCAATCAGTCAATAAAAGTAATTATATAATACATAAATATTTCTAGAAAGAATCATAAGGTACATGTACATGTATGAGAACATTCTACAAATAAATTACAATAGGCTAATGTACAGATTGTGAATACTATAAAAATAAAAAACAAATGGTAAAAATATCACTCTCTACATTGACAATGCAATGTACATGTATGATAAACTGCATTTAATCAGTATTATAGTTTGTGAAATTTTAAATACCTGTGAAAGGTGACCTTTCTTCCATTTTCCACCCTTGTCCCAGTCTTTGTACAATGTGGCACACAGCAATTTCTGCGATCCTTTTTGATTTTGACATTCTTCCCTTCCAGTACAGTACTTGGGTTTGTAGCTTTTACAAGGATTTCAATATTGCTGTCCATGGTCTCTCAGGACATGTACAGGACATGTAGTTGAGCTGAAAACAAACAGACATATGTTGTATGTTGTAACCAGGGTGAACTAGTAGGACTGAGAGTGTTTACTTTGTAGCAATGTTGTCGGGATTCATTGTAGCCGACCTGTATCAAATGTATATGTTTGTATCAATATGGCTACAATGTAAAAATGGCGTCGACTCACGACTCGGCAAAGAAGTACTAATTTTGAAAGCTCTGATAAATATAGGACAATGACAACCATATTTTTCGAATCAAACGATAAAAATACATAAATATTGAATCAATATTAATGTAAAATATCAGTTTTGCTACATAATAAGAAGGGAATGGATAGTAGGTTTTACAGATTTTACTATTTTTTGTTATTGTTTTCGAAAAATAGAAATACAGATCTTTCTCTCAATCGATTCTCTGGAGTTATTATCTTCTAACAGGTGAAATATTACATGATTATGTCGTACTACAGAGTATTTAAAACGTGATATCTTACCCAATACGGTATTTTATTCCAAGTTAAAAACGGCAATTTTATATTGGTATAATGTAGCCATTTCTTCCTATCAAAGTATGACGTAGATGCGCGAAAAGACGACTGCGCATCCCGATAGGTGTCGGGATTTATCGGAAGACTCTATTGAAATTGTAAAAATTGAAATACTTATAATTAGGCTAAGCATTTTTTTTACTTCATATGATATTAAGTAAGCTTTAATTAATATTTATTTAAATTCCAGAAATATTTTTTTATAAATACTGAAGTAATTCTTTTAGTTTTTAACGGAGAGAAATCCCCGGGATCGATGTCTGATATATAAGTTAACGTTTCGTTCACTACACACATCCTGGTACCTGGGAGTTAGAATATCGCCCATTACAAAATCAAGTAAAGTTTTATGTTCGGATTATACATTGATCCAGAAGGTCAGTATACAAGGTGTCATAGATGGGATTTAGCCGTCAGACAATATAACTAACTATCAGGAGCCTGTAGGCTTTAGGATTTTAAGCTGAAAAGCACCGAAGAAGATAATATTCCAGATAGAAGTCAGAAAATTCACTGAAATTACAGCGGAAATTCCCCAAAATATTCGTAAGCTTACAACATCTCACAATAGAATGGAGGAGGAGGACAGGAAGTAAACTTTATGCTTCACAGATCAGCTATGTTTCCTGTGATATTATGATAAATGGAACTTAATGGTTCACAGTTCAAACGAGTGCAAGTAGACTATATGACTTTACTACCCGTCCCAGGCTACACGCCTTACTGTTAGATCTACTAGTCTACTGTAGTGTCGATATATTCTTGTGATCATGACAAAGTTTACTCGACCTTCGAATTTTGAAATCGAAAGACTAGCACAATGGCTGACATTGAGGGATAGATTTACAACATAAAGTACAAGTGCAACACACAAGAAAACAAGCACGTACAAATCCTTTCAATTTGCTGAACCTGTAGAGCCTGTGGATATTGCATGGGACATTACGACGTAAGTAGATGCTTGCTTATTTTGTTGGTACAGTGTATCGTTTGCTCATTTCATAGGCACAATAGGCATATACCTATTTATTTATTCATATCATTGGTACAGTGCTCGTTTAGCTGTTTGCTCACTGATTTCATGGGCACAGTACACATGTAGCTGTTTGCTCATTTCATGGGCACAGTGACATGTAGCTGTTTGCTCATTTCATGGGCACAGTGACATGAAGCTGTTTGCTCATTTCATGGGCACAGTACACATGCAGCCGTTTGCTCATTTCATGGGCACAGTACACATGTAGCTGTTTGCTCATTTCATGGGCACAGTATTGTGAAAGTAAACATGTAGCGTAGCTGTTTGCTCAATTTATTGGTAAAGTGTATATATAGCTGTGTTCGCTCATCTTATGGGTACAGTGAACATGTAGCCATTTGGTTTGTTCATGGGCACAGTAAACATGTAGTGTTTGCTCATTTCATGGGCACAGTACCACGTAACTGTTTGCTCATTTCATTGATACAGTGCATATTTAGCTGTTTGCTCATTACATTGCTACAGTATGCATGTTGCTGTTACAGTTTGCTCTGTGTCAGAGTCAGATCTAATGTCACTCTGGGTATAATAGTCGAGAGAAATTATGTCAATATTATATTTAAATCAAATCAATTTAGAAAATATCACAATTATGATATTATTTTTATTTGTCTATTTGATTTTTGCCTTTGAAACTCCAAAATGCACCAAATAATAGCTCATGAATTTTTGGATTTGCACTTTCAGGTTTCAAGTTTGAACAAACATGGAGGACAGAACAATTTACTTTGATTTACTTCCTGGAAGACGCTCCAGCACAGGGAATCTTTATGATGTATGTTTAGTGAAGCTGAGGAAACCACCTTTTGGTTTACAAATTACAATGGAGCACCAATTTGCAGTGGGACTGCCTGTACAGCTGTCAGCTGTACAATGTTTTTCCATGATGGTGCTATATTATATTATGTGTCTACTGTACAAATGCAAGGGACTTATTCTCATCCAGGAAAATGCACTGTCTGATCACCTTCACAATGACAATACTACAGTATTAAAGACCAAGTAAACAAAAGGGGGAAGAAAGTCCTGAAGCATCTCTGGTTATACAGATAGTTGAATGATTGTTAGCCTTGCCCCAAGTCGGTCTCTTTTACTTATCTTGATTTCTATTATGACCGCCTTGTACCAAAGAGAAAGCCACGTGCTTTACCGACAGTTTGTTTATGTCGGTGATTTTGACCAATAGCATGCGATCTTTCAATGTCTAAATTTAGGTTACAAACACACGAGGTAATACAGTTGTTGATTTTGCTCCAATCAGCAAGTTAGTATCGGAACCTTTGATAGTGGCATTGTGGGAAGTCCTACCTCGCTTTACTTTCATCAGCTAGCAAAACTGAAAATGACCCTCGCAAAATCGATAAACGTTTTATTTGCCAAATATAATTGAAAGTAATTTGAATGTAGTGAACCGATTTAATATCAGAAAGTTGATGACTGATCAGTTCATATATAAACACTTATAGTTATGCTGTAAAAAGGATAATGAAAAGTTATTATGTTTCTGGTGAATGCGTTTTATTTGTAAGGGAGATACCTGGATTTGCAGACTGCAAGCATGCCGCATATAACTTCAAAACCGCATGGCGAACACGTGGATTTATTTATTGATTTTTGTGTATGACTACCGCTATTGGCTAATGCTATAGGGCACGCGTACTAGTTGGTGCATAATTTATCATAATAACAGTGGAGATGTATCGGATTACACAAGGCGGTAATAATTCAAGATCAGATAAAGTAAAAAATACCGACTTGGGGCAAGGCTAAATGATTGTGTTGACGAATAATTGTTGCTTGTAACCTACAAGTTGTAAGAGCATGCATGTGTGTCTGTTAAAAAATGAAACATTTATTTAAAATGAAAATTATACATATCCTTGGGTGCGAGGCAATCTTCTATAGTTGTCATCTTATCAAAACTATGCAATGGGGGCTTCAGTTCATTCAACAATTCTAATCCTATGTACAGTTGAACAAAATGAAGCTCAAATAAGCTCATCCTGAATTATTTGAGCAAAATGAAGCAACATTACAATTGTGAAAAGTTATCATGTCTGTTATAATTGCTCAGTCACAATCACATTTTATTTAGATTATGAAATGTAGGAGTTCACTTGCAGATTGTGAAGAAATAGCAGGACTATGATTAAATGCTATGGCACCTTTAGGAAGTGTATGGTTATCGCTACAGTCATGTCATCCAGAAGAGCCAGATATTTGCATTTTCTTCATTCTGGGGCTCGTTTTATGCATGCTAAGAACTATAGTTGTCTCACAAGCAACTAAGTTATTCACTGTTAAATAAAAAATAGTAAAACCAAAGTAAATAGGCCAATATTACGTTGGCTACCGAAATGTACTCCAAATATGCCTATTGCATTTTTAAAAGGATGTTTTATCAGATTATAATGACTTATGTGACTTAGAACTTTAAATTTTGTAATTTGGTTTAATTGCATATTTATTTGTATATTTATTTTATAAAAATCATGTTTTATAGACATCCATGTTTTGTTTTATATTTCAGAATATTACTCAAATTAATGTATATTTATTTCATAAATTAAATTTTATGTAAGACATATATAAAATATCCCCGGGATCAACACTCGTTCAGTGTAAAATAGTACTCTGGGCGGAGGTTCGCTGGGGGTCTTGAAAAAATGAATTTTCCTCTTCCACCCTCCCAAATTTAGAGGTGTATGATTTATGACTTAAACATCATGTATTTTATTTAATGTATATATGTTTATCATAGGGCGGTTTATATATTGCCTTGCATTGTAAACAACTTACATTGGCAATATGAATAATTTAATATGTTTTGTAAGAAGATGTGTTTTGTAATAAGATTTATTAATTAAAATAAATCCGCTCATTTTAAGCCCAACATCCATGTTTTGTAATATTTCAGAATATTACACATTGATAAACATTTAGTAATCTGATTATTATGTAAGATGAATAAATGACTGATATAAACTTGGTACCATTATATGTTCAATAGATTGTTAAAGGAAATTAATAATGTTGTAAGCAAGTTTTGGTTAGAAAGTTCACAATTTTACTGTGGTGTTGGTTTGTAAACAGTCATTTGTGGTCTGAATTGGTCATACTTTCAGAAATAGATGGTTTCAATTTTTTATTTGCTTAGAGTATATTATAATGCTGTACTGTTCACATGATATATAGAGACAGGTTTTTATTTGGAGGTGTTCACCAAGACACTTATTTGCTGTTTACACAGAAATCTGTGGTGTTATATTTATATGTTATATTTATATCATGACTGTGAGGATCAATAAAAATAACTCAATAACCATTACAGAGACAAAGGAGTGTTCACAGTATATTCATGATATATAGAGACAGGTTTCCACTTAGAAGTGTTCACCAAGACACATATTTAGTATTTACTGTATATAGAGAAATCTGTGGCATTATATTTATATGTTTTATTTATAATTATAATCATGACTGTGATCAAGAAAAAATAACTCCATAAGCATTACAGAGACAAAGGAGCGTTCACTGTATAGCCATGATATATTGAGATAGGTTTTCACTTAGAGCCTCTGAGGTGTTCACCAAGACACATATTTGTTGTATACAGAGAAATTTGTGGCGTTATATTTATATGTTTTATTTATAATTATTATCATAACTGTGAGGATCAAGAAAAATAACTCCATAAGCATTACAGCATTCCAGCATTCCAGAGACAAAGGAGTGTTCACTGTATAGCCATGATATATAGAGATAGGTTTTCACTTAGAGGTGGTTACCAAGACACATATTTGCTATTGACACAGAAATCTGTGGCGTTATATTTATCTGTTTATATATAATCATGACTGAGGATCAAGAAAAAATAACTCCATAAGCATTACAGAGACAAAAGAGTGTTCACTATATATATAACCATGATATATCCATGATATACAGAGACAGGTTTTCACATAGAAGTGTTTACCAAGACACATATTTGCTGTATGCACATATATTTGTGGTGCTATATTTATATGAGGTTAAACAAAAAAGGATTCCATAAACATTACTAAGGGGTGTTCATTGTATCCATGATTTACAGATTCTAACACATAGAAGTGTTCACTAAGACACATATTTGCTGTATACACTTTAGATCACATGTAAATTGTATTGACAAAGACTATTAATAAATATAAATCGATTAACCATAAATAAAATCTTTTGTTATTGAGGGCCTTTACTGAAGTTTTACAGAATGATTAAAATAACTTCAAAGATTTATCAACGAATGCATAAAGAACGTGTAAAGAATCCATAAGGAAAGCAGCAGTCTGTCAGGAATATGTAAAGAAAAAGTAGAGAATCTTTACAAAAACTCTATTGAATCAGTAAAGTTTGAAACTTATATTTACAGAATAAATGCAGTATCATTACAGATTCTGTAAACTCGTTTCTTTATCGAAACATTGCCGTGATCAAGTCCGAACAGTTTCATTACAGTTTTGACAGTAAAGAATCTGTATGGATTTTTTATGGAAATTGTGATGGAAAAAATTGCCTGTGTAGTGGGGACATAAAAGGTAAATCTTTATTCCTCTTACTTGTAACTCAGAAGTTGCAATGTTTGGGCCAATAACATTAGCAATGCCAATGAAAAATAGGGACCGCGAGTCGTCGTTCACTGGAATCATGTATTTGTAGAAATTAATTGTCTCTAATGTACCTGCAACGAAGACCAAGAATGAAACAAAGTGTTACCCCAAGTTCTTGACACCAACAATCACATAAAGAATACAGTCTTTGGAGTTAGAAGATATTGTGTATGAGGAAAATCGATTGAAAATGACAGATCGTAATATCCATTCAGCCATTGCTATATACTGTAGTTACCTATAGGAGCTGATATTTCATCCCACTTTCCATCCTTACTTTAACTTCAAAGTAAATTGAGAACAATCTCATTCATACTAACCTAGGCTATCATCCAGAAACTCAGTGGATGGATTAAAACCAGTTGCGAACACAATGTCATCAATATCATCTATACGACTGCCATCTTGAAATATTGCTCCAGTCTTTGTAATTTCCTTGACTTCTCCCTTCATCTACATGCAAGCATTTACACATGAATGATCATAATAAGATAACAATTCATATGAATGAAGTATAGCAGGTACTATTTATATTTAAATTAGTTGCCCATAAAAGGTAGGTTTACCCGTTAGCCGACAGTCGGAAGTTGCAATCGCAAATACAAGCTAAGGAACGTATCTAAACTTACAACAGCTGTTTGTCTCTGCTTTGTTTTACTTTTACAAATATTAAAGAATATTTCACGGTAGCTTCGATGCTGGTTAAGTGTTAGAGTTAAGGCTCTCTTATATATACTGTACAGTCAATTGTTAACCATGTTAACGCGATGATGACTTATACATAAAACAATTCATTTATATGCCATTCATCACTAGTGTTTTAGAACCTTTAACGCCCCTGCCGCAATACGAAATTCAATTTCGTCTCCTAGAGCAACGGTCATTCTCATCAATCCACGTTTAGGCTCCATACTATAGTCTTTGAAATTGAATCTTTTGCGCAAGTCTCCTCCATACACCTTGTCTAGTTCACTACAATGGATACACAATGAAACATAAATAGTTATATCACAGGGTACGTTCCAAATTAAGCCCGACAGTTGAACGCACTTGCCATTTGTTACAGTTGAATATCGAACTCCGAACACCAACCGCCGAACACCAACTGCTGCCGGAAAGAAGTATACCATACTATAACAATATATCACCACATGTGGTGGTGACATATAAACTGCTTGAGTTTGAAATAATATAATTTTAAATCATGCAATTTCTCACCATTCGGAGCACTTTTTCAAATGATCTCAGGCCAAAGAAGTCAAACGTGAACCCCCTGAATTTTTTTTAAGGCCCTCCCCTTGTTTTTTTATTAGGAGAGACAATGTTAAATTCGCAAATGAATTGGAAAAATAACACAAATACGAGAGAATCAAAATAGAACAAGTCAAATAGCAGCAGACAAGACCAATACACAATTTACCCATAGGCCCTATAAGATAATGGGATAGTTTCTAAATAGCAGACAAATCAATGAAATCTAGTGCTGCCATCTTTTATTCGGCTTTCAGCTTGGGCTAGAGTTCCATTCACTTACATGCTAAAATCTTGGAAAAGTGGCTTAATTTCATCCGCGTTTTTGGGCCCCTAAAACCCAAAAGTGGGCCCACATTTTGAAATTTTGAGGCCCATTTTCTTCGACATTTTGCCTGAAATTAAAAACTAAGGCCTTATAAGGCCCAGTTATGACCAAAAAGACGCACTTTTTGGGGCCTTAAGGCATTTTTTGGCCCAACATTTTTTGGGGCCCCATTTTTTTTCTTGGCCCATCCAAAGGGGAAGGGGGGCAGGCCCCCCCCCCCAGATCCGCCACTGCATATACCAACAGAAAGCTAAGATCAAGACCAAAACACTCAACTCATTGAAAAACAACTTACCCGTCGAAGACCCACCCCACACACCTCCAAACGCACACCATCAACCGAAAATACCGCAAAACTCAGAAAAATAAAAAAAATACATCCAAACAAGAGCACATTAACAACCCCTCTAATACATACAATATCAACATAAAATATACCTGACAATATAAGTACAAACAATGGACCGGGATAAGGTACAACACGATGGAGATGAAAGTTGAAACTGATCTTTTCACCGTTTCAGAAAAATCTGATCTAATTTCTAGTTATTCTTATATTATGAATGTCCTGCAACAATATCCTAGACAGTAAATTTGACATCGTTAAACCTACACAAACTCCGAATCTGGTACACGGTATAACGCGCGTGTAATATACGTTAAAGCAAATTCCAATTCCATGTACACAGGCAATTTTTTCCATCACAATTTCCATAAAAAATCCATACAGATTCTTTACTGTCAAAACTGTAATGAAACTGTTCGGACTTGATCACGGCAATGTTTCGATAAAGAAACGAGTTTACAGAATCTGTAATGATACTGCATTTATTCTGTAAATATAAGTTTCAAACTTTACTGATTCAATAGAGTTTTTGTAAAGATTCTCTACTTTTTCTTTACATATTCCTGACAGACTGCTGCTTTCCTTATGGATTCTTTACACGTTCTTTATGCATTCGTTGATAAATCTTTGAAGTTATTTTAATCATTCTGTAAAACTTCAGTAAAGGCCCTCAATAACAAAAGATTTTATTTATGGTTAATCGATTTATATTTATTAATAGTCTTTGTCAATACAATTTACATGTGATCTAAAGTGTATACAGCAAATATGTGTCTTAGTGAACACTTCTATGTGTTAGAATCTGTAAATCATGGATACAATGAACACCCCTTAGTAATGTTTATGGAATCCTTTTTTGTTTAACCTCATATAAATATAGCACCACAAATATATGTGCATACAGCAAATATGTGTCTTGGTAAACACTTCTATGTGAAAACCTGTCTCTGTATATCATGGATATATCATGGTTATATATATAGTGAACACTCTTTTGTCTCTGTAATGCTTATGGAGTTATTTTTTCTTGATCCTCAGTCATGATTATATATAAACAGATAAATATAACGCCACAGATTTCTGTGTCAATAGCAAATATGTGTCTTGGTAACCACCTCTAAGTGAAAACCTATCTCTATATATCATGGCTATACAGTGAACACTCCTTTGTCTCTGGAATGCTGGAATGCTGTAATGCTTATGGAGTTATTTTTCTTGATCCTCACAGTTATGATAATAATTATAAATAAAACATATAAATATAACGCCACAAATTTCTCTGTATACAACAAATATGTGTCTTGGTGAACACCTCAGAGGCTCTAAGTGAAAACCTATCTCAATATATCATGGCTATACAGTGAACGCTCCTTTGTCTCTGTAATGCTTATGGAGTTATTTTTTCTTGATCACAGTCATGATTATAATTATAAATAAAACATATAAATATAATGCCACAGATTTCTCTATATACAGTAAATACTAAATATGTGTCTTGGTGAACACTTCTAAGTGGAAACCTGTCTCTATATATCATGAATATACTGTGAACACTCCTTTGTCTCTGTAATGGTTATTGAGTTATTTTTATTGATCCTCACAGTCATGATATAAATATAACATATAAATATAACACCACAGATTTCTGTGTAAACAGCAAATAAGTGTCTTGGTGAACACCTCCAAATAAAAACCTGTCTCTATATATCATGTGAACAGTACAGCATTATAATATACTCTAAGCAAATAAAAAATTGAAACCATCTATTTCTGAAAGTATGACCAATTCAGACCACAAATGACTGTTTACAAACCAACACCACAGTAAAATTGTGAACTTTCTAACCAAAACTTGCTTACAACATTATTAATTTCCTTTAACAATCTATTGAACATATAATGGTACCAAGTTTATATCAGTCATTTATTCATCTTACATAATAATCAGATTACTAAATGTTTATCAATGTGTAATATTCTGAAATATTACAAAACATGGATGTTGGGCTTAAAATGAGCGGATTTATTTTAATTAATAAATCTTATTACAAAACACATCTTCTTACAAAACATATTAAATTATTCATATTGCCAATGTAAGTTGTTTACAATGCAAGGCAATATATAAACCGCCCTATGATAAACATATATACATTAAATAAAATACATGATGTTTAAGTCATAAATCATACACCTCTAAATTTGGGAGGGTGGAAGAGGAAAATTCATTTTTTCAAGACCCCCAGCGAACCTCCGCCCAGAGTACTATTTTACACTGAACGAGTGTTGATCCCGGGGATATTTTATATATGTCTTACATAAAATTTAATTTATGAAATAAATATACATTAATTTGAGTAATATTCTGAAATATAAAACAAAACATGGATGTCTATAAAACATGATTTTTATAAAATAAATATACAAATAAATATGCAATTAAACCAAATTACAAAATTTAAAGTTCTAAGTCACATAAGTCATTATAATCTGATAAAACATCCTTTTAAAAATGCAATAGGCATATTTGGAGTACATTTCGGTAGCCAACGTAATATTGGCCTATTTACTTTGGTTTTACTATTTTTTATTTAACAGTGAATAACTTAGTTGCTTGTGAGACAACTATAGTTCTTAGCATGCATAAAACGAGCCCCAGAATGAAGAAAATGCAAATATCTGGCTCTTCTGGATGACATGACTGTAGCGATAACCATACACTTCCTAAAGGTGCCATAGCATTTAATCATAGTCCTGCTATTTCTTCACAATCTGCAAGTGAACTCCTACATTTCATAATCTAAATAAAATGTGATTGTGACTGAGCAATTATAACAGACATGATAACTTTTCACAATTGTAATGTTGCTTCATTTTGCTCAAATAATTCAGGATGAGCTTATTTGAGCTTCATTTTGTTCAACTGTACATAGGATTAGAATTGTTGAATGAACTGAAGCCCCCATTGCATAGTTTTGATAAGATGACAACTATAGAAGATTGCCTCGCACCCAAGGATATGTATAATTTTCATTTTAAATAAATGTTTCATTTTTTAACAGACACACATGCATGCTCTTACAACTTGTAGGTTACAAGCAACAATTATTCGTCAACACAATCATTTAGCCTTGCCCCAAGTCGGTATTTTTTACTTTATCTGATCTTGAATTATTACCGCCTTGTGTAATCCGATACATCTCCACTGTTATTATGATAAATTATGCACCAACTAGTACGCGTGCCCTATAGCATTAGCCAATAGCGGTAGTCATACACAAAAATCAATAAATAAATCCACGTGTTCGCCATGCGGTTTTGAAGTTATATGCGGCATGCTTGCAGTCTGCAAATCCAGGTATCTCCCTTACAAATAAAACGCATTCACCAGAAACATAATAACTTTTCATTATCCTTTTTACAGCATAACTATAAGTGTTTATATATGAACTGATCAGTCATCAACTTTCTGATATTAAATCGGTTCACTACATTCAAATTACTTTCAATTATATTTGGCAAATAAAACGTTTATCGATTTTGCGAGGGTCATTTTCAGTTTTGCTAGCTGATGAAAGTAAAGCGAGGTAGGACTTCCCACAATGCCACTATCAAAGGTTCCGATACTAACTTGCTGATTGGAGCAAAATCAACAACTGTATTACCTCGTGTGTTTGTAACCTAAATTTAGACATTGAAAGATCGCATGCTATTGGTCAAAATCACCGACATAAACAAACTGTCGGTAAAGCACGTGGCTTTCTCTTTGGTACAAGGCGGTCATAATAGAAATCAAGATAAGTAAAAGAGACCGACTTGGGGCAAGGCTAACAATCATTCAACTATCTGTATAACCAGAGATGCTTCAGGACTTTCTTCCCCCTTTTGTTTACTTGGTCTTTAATACTGTAGTATTGTCATTGTGAAGGTGATCAGACAGTGCATTTTCCTGGATGAGAATAAGTCCCTTGCATTTGTACAGTAGACACATAATATAATATAGCACCATCATGGAAAAACATTGTACAGCTGACAGCTGTACAGGCAGTCCCACTGCAAATTGGTGCTCCATTGTAATTTGTAAACCAAAAGGTGGTTTCCTCAGCTTCACTAAACATACATCATAAAGATTCCCTGTGCTGGAGCGTCTTCCAGGAAGTAAATCAAAGTAAATTGTTCTGTCCTCCATGTTTGTTCAAACTTGAAACCTGAAAGTGCAAATCCAAAAATTCATGAGCTATTATTTGGTGCATTTTGGAGTTTCAAAGGCAAAAATCAAATAGACAAATAAAAATAATATCATAATTGTGATATTTTCTAAATTGATTTGATTTAAATATAATATTGACATAATTTCTCTCGACTATTATACCCAGAGTGACATTAGATCTGACTCTGACACAGAGCAAACTGTAACAGCAACATGCATACTGTAGCAATGTAATGAGCAAACAGCTAAATATGCACTGTATCAATGAAATGAGCAAACAGTTACGTGGTACTGTGCCCATGAAATGAGCAAACACTACATGTTTACTGTGCCCATGAACAAACCAAATGGCTACATGTTCACTGTACCCATAAGATGAGCGAACACAGCTATATATACACTTTACCAATAAATTGAGCAAACAGCTACGCTACATGTTTACTTTCACAATACTGTGCCCATGAAATGAGCAAACAGCTACATGTGTACTGTGCCCATGAAATGAGCAAACGGCTGCATGTGTACTGTGCCCATGAAATGAGCAAACAGCTTCATGTCACTGTGCCCATGAAATGAGCAAACAGCTACATGTCACTGTGCCCATGAAATGAGCAAACAGCTACATGTGTACTGTGCCCATGAAATCAGTGAGCAAACAGCTAAACGAGCACTGTACCAATGATATGAATAAATAAATAGGTATATGCCTATTGTGCCTATGAAATGAGCAAACGATACACTGTACCAACAAAATAAGCAAGCATCTACTTACGTCGTAATGTCCCATGCAATATCCACAGGCTCTACAGGTTCAGCAAATTGAAAGGATTTGTACGTGCTTGTTTTCTTGTGTGTTGCACTTGTACTTTATGTTGTAAATCTATCCCTCAATGTCAGCCATTGTGCTAGTCTTTCGATTTCAAAATTCGAAGGTCGAGTAAACTTTGTCATGATCACAAGAATATATCGACACTACAGTAGACTAGTAGATCTAACAGTAAGGCGTGTAGCCTGGGACGGGTAGTAAAGTCATATAGTCTACTTGCACTCGTTTGAACTGTGAACCATTAAGTTCCATTTATCATAATATCACAGGAAACATAGCTGATCTGTGAAGCATAAAGTTTACTTCCTGTCCTCCTCCTCCATTCTATTGTGAGATGTTGTAAGCTTACGAATATTTTGGGGAATTTCCGCTGTAATTTCAGTGAATTTTCTGACTTCTATCTGGAATATTATCTTCTTCGGTGCTTTTCAGCTTAAAATCCTAAAGCCTACAGGCTCCTGATAGTTAGTTATATTGTCTGACGGCTAAATCCCATCTATGACACCTTGTATACTGACCTTCTGGATCAATGTATAATCCGAACATAAAACTTTACTTGATTTTGTAATGGGCGATATTCTAACTCCCAGGTACCAGGATGTGTGTAGTGAACGAAACGTTAACTTATATATCAGACATCGATCCCGGGGATTTCTCTCCGTTAAAAACTAAAAGAATTACTTCAGTATTTATAAAAAAATATTTCTGGAATTTAAATAAATATTAATTAAAGCTTACTTAATATCATATGAAGTAAAAAAAATGCTTAGCCTAATTATAAGTATTTCAATTTTTACAATTTCAATTGATTTATTGAGGATATAGTTTTATATATATTTTTTAATTTTACCTGCTTTAGGCTTATTTCAGTATCAATTCGTCAGTGGTCAGGGTACTTTTGGGAGGTTGGGACAAACCTAGTACCTCCCAAAAGTACCCTGACCACTGACGAAACACTGTGTTCCCTCGGGAAATATTGATACCATTCTTGTGATATTCCCCATATCAAATCCCTCCTTGTGGATAACTACCTATTATCCCATGGTTGCAAGGATATACATCGAATATCACGTGAAGATATATTTCATGATGTGGATCAAGATATCATTATCATATATAATTTTAGCAAAAAATCCCCAAACCATCAAAGTGATATTCGATAGTTTCAGAAGTGATATTCAGCCAGCTTTTGGTATCTGGGAGCTCTGACATCCCCCCTCAAATCTTTGAGGGGACCAAATGGCAAAAAATATTCTGCGCTTGCAAGGATTTTTTTTAAAAGTAAGGCCAATTTTCTCTTAGAACAAGGCCAAAAAAGCGCTTTAATGCCCTTCAGCACTTTTAAGACACCCTTCAACACTTTTTTTGGCAAAAAGGTACATATGTCCACATATCTTTAAGGAGATATCAGAAGGGTTGGCTGTAATGGCTGAGCCCCTTCCCCAGGTTATGGGCCTGGATGTAACTTATTGCTTCTTTGAGATCATCATCCATACATTTTTGAAATGAATCTATTTTTCTGTAAAGTGTATTCTTTGCAAAATCTTCAATGACAAAGTCAATTTTACAGAATTTTCAATGTTGTTATTTCTTTACAGAATCTGTTGAGAATTTCTTTATTGATTCTTTACAGATCAACACACACACAGTTTCTAAATTGAATCTGTATTTTTTCTGTAATGAGATTTCTTTGCAGAATCATTAAAGAAAGAAAAACTGTACAGATTCTTCAAATGTATCAAATCTGCAAAGTTTCTTTAATGAATTTCCGTAAAGATTTTTTAAAGATAGCCATTCTTTACAGAAAATGTAATGGAAAAAATTGCCTGTGTACCTCGTGTTAGGCAATATTGTTGACCTATGGGCGTTTGTCTGTCCGACTGTTTTCTCAAAAACCTCTACAGATATCACTTCATTTTCAGGTATAGGTTTTGGAAACATACTGATGTTGTACAGAGAATTTCGACTTGATACCTACTTCCTGCTAAAATCCTTATATCTACTTTTTTATTGTAAGCGATTTTTGAATTTTCCGTTGTAAAACCTTTTCTGCAAAGTCTGTCTGCCCGTTTTAGTTTTTGGGGATTCTGGGTGAATGTTAAGGCGGCCATTTTTGATTTTTCGTCCTAAAATCTCGTTTGGCAAACTGTTTAACGGATCGATTTCAAATTTTCAGGGATGATTCTTTTTATGTGAATCACAAACCCTTGTTTCATGGGCATTCTGGGTAAACGTTGCGGTGACCATTTTGGGGTTTCCGTCCTAAAACCATCTCTTAAAGTCTTGTCTACGCGTTTTCTGGTGAACCGTTTGACGGATCTATTTCAAATTTTCAGGAATTATCTTTATATGAATATCTCGAACTTGTTAACGGGATGAATAGTGTAAAGTAATCGCCGTTTGCGGAACAAATCGTGAAACTTTCCTCAAATGATCACTGATTGCTACTCTTTAAAGAAAGCAACTGTGCCAAAAAATCGCTCCATAGGAACTACCCTAATTTTACAATTCTTACCCCCCCATGGTCACGGAGGAGGGGGGGGCTAAACATTTTTTGACAGAATACTTCAAATTTAATATTACTTTATCATGTTAAGAAGTTTACGTTGAACATTTGGCGTCTTCAAATATCCAGCCCCACTCAGCTGAGAAAGGGTCGATGGCAAACACTGACAGGACCCGGGTTTCTATAACACGTGCTAGAAACACGTACTAAAATAGTCTCGCAACCAGTGCTATTTACTGAACGAAACGACACGAAAACCCCGGGACAGCGTCCTATCAGAGTATTTATGGATAGGACCCCCGTATGACCATGCTATCAGTTTGAATCTATTATTAACAAACTTATGTAACAGGCCCGTAGCCAGGACCCTCTACCATTGCCAAAAATGCTTTCAAAACCATGCAGTTTTCACCATTCTGAGCACTTTTTCAAATGGTTTTGGTCATTTTTGGGCCATTTCAAAAGTGAATCCCTTGGATTTTTTTAAAATCGACCCCCCCCCGTCAAATGCCGGCTACATCCCAGATTCAAACTTAAAACAATAAAATGCTGTATAAAACCCAGGGGATATATCATCCTCCGACTCATTTCTCCTGCATCCCTTGACCCGTACTTAAATAGTCTCGAAACCAGTGCTATTTTAACTTTTCCCGGTAGAGGCGCCATAAACTGAACGAAAAGCAAAACACTCTAAACCCGGGATGTAGCATCCTTTGGTATTCATGAATTGGATTAATTGCCCGACCTTTTACCTTTCTGTCAATTTGAATTCATGCCGATAATGGCTCTCAAAATAGAATAAAATTTGTTCTCGAAATTCAAAGATGAATTGGCTATTGCAATTAGGAGTTGGAGTCCTTATGTGTTCAAGTTTACGTTTTCAAAGGTATTTGGGATTACAGATGTAGATGAGGTTTTAATTAATGTTATAATTTCTGATAATAGCTGGCCTTGAACTTCATTGAAGTATTTGGAGTTGATGCTGTATTCAAGTCTGGATCAAATAAACTAATAAAGAAAGTTTGATGTACTGATTTATTTATTTCTATTGCAAATAACTATTTACACATGCTATTTCAAGGTCAACCCATGTGACTATTCATTTTATCAAGCGATTTATAAAGTTTTATAATTATGCATATACCTGTTGACTCACTTCAATCCTGAACATTAACAAATTTTATCTCCATTTCTGGATGTGGCTAATTCCTATTGTCCCTACTGTGGACTAGTGACAATATATATTTTGCAA